ATAACGTATATATATAACATCAGGAATATATATATATGGTATTTTGGGACACATTTTATATATATATATATACTAAGCGCCCCTATATATATATATATATATACTAAGGCTACAGATGTATATATCTTAATAATGTATTTAATATATATATGGATATACATGTATTTTATATATATATATATAATAATACAATATATATTAACTATTTTATATATTATATATATGTTTAAATTTTTTATTACATAATAATTTTATATATATATATAAATAATACATTTTATACATATATATATAATATATAACTTTATATATATATATATATAATATTAATTTTTTATATATATATGGCATAATATTTCCTTTCATATATATATATATATATAATAATGTATATATATATATATATATAATAATATATATTATATATATATATAGCATATATATTTATTTATAATAATATATATATATATAATTTTATATATATATATATATATATATATATAATGGATATATATCTAATATATCTATATATATATATATAATTATATAATAATGTATTATATATATATATATATATGTGTTTTATATATTATTTTGACCATTATATTATATTACTATTCAGTCAGTAACACATATATTAATTCTTCACCACAGATAATCAATTTTTATTTCTATAAGTTTCAATTCAGATTAAGTGAAGAAACATTGAAAAAATTTCAACTTAAAAATTGCAAGATTCATCAATATTATTTTATTAACATTTAGTTTGCAAATAGAGTGAATATGAATTGACAATTAAAAATAAAAGCAAAACTAATAAGATTTGAATGCTTGTATTATTTCAGAGTCTGTCTTACAGTGGCATCTTCCTATTGGTTAAAAGCTATGAAGGCTTTACTTCTAGACAATAAGTCAGATAAACCCTATGACACTGTTTCTCAATATCTTTAAACAACAACATACCTAAAAGCAAATGAAAATATCGTGGCACACTTAGCAAAATTTTTAAAGGTTATACATTTTAAATGTTACGAAATAAAATCATAGATTTCAAAAAAATACCCACATAAATATGAACTTTATTTTATTGTTTCTATTCAATTATTTGTGCAGTTTATTCAAGTGTGAAAACCTGTGCCTGGTGGTTTTTCATGATTTCTTCAATGTTTGCTCAAATGTGCAATAAGCAAACACATTTGTTCTTCAGTTGAGACTATTGTCCTTTTCTTTGTTCTTATTTTCATGTTATTTAGGGTTAAGAAGCTTAATTCATATAAATAAGTAGCAAATTGTAATAAAATTAATGGAGCCTTTTTAGCTAATGTGGGATAAAAAGTTTAATACTTATTTATTAAAATAATAATCCTGTACTATGATTACTCCCACACACACACACATAAAGAGGAACCCATTTTCCATTTCAAGTTTTCCTTAATTCCATTTTCAGGTGTTAGGGAATTGCGTTTTCAGTATAGATTTCTGTTTTTGCTTCCTTATAATCCTTAGTGAGAAAGTGTGACAATATATAAATGTTAATAACAAGAAAATAAAAAATTTTACCAGCTGGGATATCCACTCATTGGATACCCTGTTTCAGCTTGATAGGGTTTTGTACCTCATACTTCAGCCCCTAATCTAACTTGTTAAGTTTTTCAGGATAAACCTTTGCAAAGAACACTACAATCCTAAATAAGAATTAAGTGAAAGTGGCAAAACCTACATAAAAGTAGTACCACAAAGTTTATTTAGAGACAAAAAGCTACAATATTTTTTGGTCGCTTTATTGAAATTATGAAATAACTTTTTTTTTTAAAGTCTAATTTGTAAAGTTCATCTTTCTGAAATGACATATTGTCCCCACCTCCAACACTATGTGTGATAGGAAAAAGAAAGGATTTAAAAAAAAAAAAAAAAATGTTGTGTCCCCCCCCTCCCCAACTACCACCACCTTTTTTCTTTCTTTTTTTTTATTACATCAAGCCAACTCATTAAAACCTAGTTCCTAAATACTGTAAACTGTAGGGAGGCAATAAGTAAGATTGATGTATTAAAATATTACCAACTTTGTTATTATTTTACTTGTTTTATGTATGACTGTTTTTTTAACAAAAAGAAAATTCTAGTTTATGTATATATTTTTAATTTTATATACGATGCCAAGATTCTAAGCCCTAGCTTGAATAAACCATTATTTTGTTTTACCAGTTCAGACATTTACTATCAAAATATGTCATGTTACTTCCTCAGAGTCAAATCACCCTCATTTCCTCCATATTCCAAGTTCTTGGTATGACGATAAACTACATTCAGCAGCAAGGCCTCTATTCAGGAGATTGAAGGTTTTGAGGAGCATGTAACCATCTCCTAATTGCTGTTGTTCCCAGGTCCACCCTGACCTGGGGTGGTAACACATGTTAGGGTCCCAACTCTGTGCAAATATTGACCCCCCCCCAACAAAACACCATGAAAGTATAAAAATAACAGCAATATATTTTTATATAAAAAAGGACCAACAATACATATTTATAGTAAAATGACCAATAATACATTTTATCTGTAGTTGAAGACATACAATTGGATTTAAATTATTTAGATTTTGGCATTAAATAACCCATAGACATTGATATACCACTAAACAAAACCAACCAACCAACATGAAAGAACTCTTTCATGACATTAATCCATATAATATCCGACAATTTCTTAAATCAAACTGTATTCTAAAATATAACTTTAAAAAAATTACAACATAAAATACACATATCACTGTCTCTAGTAACCATGTCCACACAAACATGTATATGTGCAATAGTTAAGTATCATTTACTATGTATTTTTTGTGAAAACAGAATAACATATCCTATATTTTTATTATTTCAAATCGCCCAAGTTTGTATACCAAGCATTTCACAATAATAGAGAAGCTCGAGCCATGGCTCTAGATATCTCTAAAGCATTTGATAAGGTTTGGCATGCCAGCCTTCTTCATGAGATTCAGGGATACGGCTTTACAGGATGATTATTTGACTTAATGCAATCATTCCTGTCAAACCGTGAAATGAAAGCCATCCTAAAAGGGTTCTCCTCCAGCTCCTTTCTCATGAACACTGGTGTTTCCCAAGGCTCTATCCTGGGTCCTACACTGTTTCTGATGTTCATTAATGCCCTTCCCGATGTCATCAGTTCCCAAGTAGGCATCTATGTGGATGACACTACTATTTACTCCTGCCTCAATAGTAAATCTGGTATCAATTACAAAACTAACCTGGCTGTTGGTCTTGAAAAGGACCTCCAATCTTTGGTTGACTGGGGGCAGGAAATGGCTTGTAAACTTTAATAAACTCCAAAATGAAACTGCCCTCTTTTACCCACCACAGAGAACCCTCCTTGCCTCCCATCAGTATGGCGGATACCCAACTTCATGAGAGCGCCTCGCTGCACCTCACATTGTCCACTGACCTGAGGTGTAACAAATACATTGAATCAATAGTTTCATCTGACACAAGGAAAGTTGGTTCTCTGTGTCATGCCAGGAAGTTTTTCTTGCCCGAGTGCCTCTTTCAAATCTATAAATCAACCACCCGTCCTTGCTTGGAATACTGCTGCCATATATGGTCTGGTGCCCTGCTGTACATCTCAATGTCCTCGACAAAATCCAGAGACAGATATGCAATGTAATAGGTCCTGATCTGGCTTCTTATCTACAGTTACTTTCTTTCAGCCGTGCTGTGTCTTCCCTCTGTCTCTTCTACAAGTATTTTCATGGCATCTGCTCTGACAAGCTACCTTCACTGGTTCCCAGACTACATGAATTTAAGCATGCTACTAGGGTGGCATCTTGGTACCAACTTTTCACTGTCAAAATGGCTAAATGTAGCCATCTCTTCTACTCCAATAACTTCATGTCTTGCACTTCTCGTGCGTGGAACTCCCTTCCTCTTACTTGCTTCCCTGATAACTATAATCTTCAAATATTCAAGTATGATGTCAATCGACATCTTCTGATGCCTTGATCTTGTTCCCCACCCTTTTTCTTTATCCTTTCCTCAAACACTCCCCCCTCTTTACTCTTGATCTCACCCTCTGTAATCCCTTTGCATGCTAGTGGCACTCCTGCTTTGCTTGCAGTGAAATGCTTAAAAGAAAAAATTAAGTCAATTGTTATCTATCCTTCTTATCCTCATAATCTTTAATTCATATTACGCATCTCATTCAGTAAGCCTCTACCTTGAATGACTATTGAGTTTTGTATTGGGGGCAATTTAGAATTGGTTAAAAATCCTTTCCATACTGAATATGTTATTCTCTGTCCCTTGTATTAATTCCTGTTCCTCCTCAGACTACTCATCTCCCACTAAAGAACACCTACTTTCAGGAACAGACTGCTGCATGAATATAATCCCTGAACACTGCAACTACAACCTTTTCAAGTCAAGGGTTAATCTTTATCTATCCTTTTTTCCTCGTAATCTTCATTTCCTACCAGCATCTGTTACACTCATATTGCATCTCCTTCTTAATAACCATTTTAATGACAATCCTCTACCTTGAGTGGCTCTCCAGTGGGTGAACCTTAGTATTAAAAACTGCTGTGGAGTAGCTGAACACCCCCACAAGCTGGACTGGTTTAATATTTAAACAGTACTCTCTCTTACTGATGACGAGGAGTTAACAATTAACTGTTTATTACATTAGTCAGTGTTTTCAACTGGGTACCATATTATTCTCCGGAATAAACTACTTATTTTCTACATGTGTGTCAAACTTTCCTATTTGCAACACTATAAAAACAAACTTGAAGAATTCATGATTTAATTACATAATGAATTGTAGACAACATACTTTTGTTTGATGCTGATATTTTGATTTGACTAATAGCCATCCACTTTCTACCATCAGCCTTTTTTTGCCGTTCTTGTGTTCTATTAAGCCTTTGTTTGTTTATGGTCTGCAGAATCTCTAGGCATCTTGCTGCTACTGACTTAGTCTTCGTGATCTTCATGGCGCTTCATCAACTTCTCAGACGTGCCTTGCGTCCTAGCATCTGTCACAAACCTCACCGCTTTACACGTTGGCTTTCAACCATTCAATCTGAGAAGGTAGGTGACTTGACCTGTGTCTTTCACTCTGCCTCCTCTTTGCATTGGCTAAGGTACTAGGCCAAGATGTTGCTAATGCTTTAGGCATAAATTCTTTGTTATGGAACAGACTCCCAAGAAAAAGCTTCTCCAAACACTACACTAGTAACCATTTTAGAGTCAACCGTTACTGACTAGTCCTGGGTATGATAATAAATTACATCCGGCAGCAAGGCTTCTGATCAGAAGATTGGAGGTTTTGAGGAGTGTAGAACCACTTCTTAATTGCTATTGTTCACCCAGACCCAGGATGGTAGCACCTGTTAGATAAATAGTTAACTCCGAAAAAAGCAAAACACTATGAAAGTATGAAAATACCAGCAATACCTTTTTCTATAGACAAATTACCAAAAATACTTTTTATCTGTCATTGAAGGCATACAATTGTGTTAAAAATATTTAGATTTTGGCATTAAATAACCTATAGAGGTTGATATGTCACTAAACAAAACCAACCAACCATTACTTATCGTATATATTCTCATAATCTGCGCTTACTTCCCTCTTCCTCATCCAGTCAACAATCTTATTTAATAACCATCTACCTTGAGTGGCTCTTGAATCTTGTACTAGGTGAACATTTAGTAAAAAAAAATCTTTTTGACACATCTGATCATTCACATAGTTCCTCATTTATATGCTATATCCCTATAAGACATAGTGACCATGGCTGATGTGAGTCCAGGTCTAGTTTAAAATGTCAGTAGTTCCTCTAGGCAAGTAAAGTGCCAAGAGAGAAATCATAGCAGTTTAAATATATATCTAATGGCCCAGTCCATCCTGGACAGAAGGGGACACAAGTCTATGCTCCTGCTGATGTCACTGTTGATAGGAACAGTCCATTAAGTTGGGAAGATAACTGGTTATACCATTTACAATAACAATGGCTCTCTAAAACTTGCTTTCCTTTGTAGCTCTCTATTCTATTGCTGTTTCCATGGAAAATGTTCCGATGATCTACATTACCCAGTTCAACCAGTTCAGGCGTTTACAGCTAAGACTCATCTTGCCGTATCCACTGGTGGATCATTCCCATTCCTTTCAGATTTGATAGTAAAAAAGGAAGTTCCAGTGGAAGAGTTTCTTCCCCCAAGAGCTGCTACTTTATGGAACAGGTTACCATGAGTATGCTTCACCAAACACTACAATCTTAAACTCTTCAAGTCTAGGGTTAACCATTACCTGTTGTCTGTGTACTTATAATCTGCAGGTACATCTCCCTTCCACAACCTTATTTAGTAATGCTCTACCTTGAGTGGCTCTTGAGCTATAGTTTTGGTGAACTTTAATAATAAATATAAAAAATAAGGTTGTCTTAGAGATTTTTAGGCTGGTTGTTGCTATTTTATCATAAAATATGCTGAATTTTGCTTAATTATATTCCATTCACTGTAGTTAAATTTTTTTTAAAATTTTCTTAGGAAACGAAATTAAGAAAATGTTTTTGAAAGTCTTAATAGTATATTTGATCTTTATTAATGGATTACTAAAAAAAAGCAATCAAGGAAAGTTGGGTCACTGTGATGTGCCAGAAAATTTTTTTTGTCAGAATCCATCTTGCACATTTACAAATCTACCATTCATTTGTGCATTGAATACTGCTGCCATGTCTGGTCTGGTCTGGCACGGCACTCCTGCTGTATATCTCAAGATTCTCGACAAAATACAATGGAATCAATCCTGACCTGGCATCTTATTTTTAATCACTTTCTCACCAACATAACGTGGCTTCTCTCTGTCTTTTATACAAATATTTTCATGGCAACTGCTCTGATGAGCAATTTTTCCTGGTCCCATCCATTTACTGTTGAAACAGCTAAATGTAACCGCCGCTTCTACTCCAACAGTTTCTTTTCTCACACTTCCCGCTTGTGGAACTCCTATTTCCTTGCTTTCTTGATAATTACAATCTTCAGAAATTTAAATGCAATGTCAATCGCCATCTTCTTGACGCTTGTTCATCTTTTGTCCTTTCCTCAGTCCTCCCTATATTTTCTCTTTTCTCTCACTCTCACTCCCTGTAACCACCCCTGCATACTAGTGACACCCACCTTGCTTGAGGTAAAATTATTTAAAAAAAAAAAAAACCCTTCAGATACTGTCAAATCTGCAGCTGTTGTTATTAGTTTCACTGTTTAATAAAATAAAAAAAAAACAGAGATAGCAACTAAAACGTGTGTACTCACTAAAAATAACATTTATCGTAATAATAAATAAATATATCGTCATTGGCACCTGCTTGCATTCGAGCATTGGGATTGCCATCTGCTCTCTCTATTCCCTTTCTCTCCCCCTGGTGGCAGGAGTGAAGATGGCTGTGAATCAAAGAGTCTGACAAGGCCATTCATGTGAATTTAGTTTTGGTATACATGACAGAGAAGCCCACACACTTGGCCAGAAATAGCTCCCTCATGGCTCAAAGACATGTGAGATCTGGAAAACCTGGATGCATCAGACTGTTGCTTGGTCTGTCAAGGTCCACCTTGGTTATGCCAACCCAACTGGCGCTACCCTCTCCCACCACTTTGGCTGTTAACATTATGTAGATCTTTGCTTATTCCACTGTTGGGGCTGGTTGTGTTCAGTCTGGTCCTTCCTCATTGACCTTATTGCCATATATATATATATATATATATGTGTGTGTGTGTATATATATATATATATATATATATATATATATATATTATTCATGCACGTTTCATTAAATAATATAGACAAGTGTTGTCTATTTTATGTAAAATTTTTTCGTAACGTCTGATAAGTTTAATAACATTATCGTTGAACGAAGAAAAAAGTCACAATACTGATCCATATTTTTTTTAATACAATATATTAGTCTATTTTTATTTTAATCCTCTCAAATTCATGGATCAATATTTTAGTGCTGTTACAAAACTGAGTAAGAAAGACACCATAGTTTTGCTTGGCAACTTCGGAAACAAAAAGAAATATAAAATAAAATATGGCATCTTTCTTACTCAATTTTGTAGCTGCACTAAGAAAATGATCTTCAAATTTGAGAGGATTAAAATAAAATAAATAAACATAATGTCTAGATTATTCAACCAAACATGCTTGAATGAAAATAATCTACACACACACACACACACACATATATAGTTTTAAGGTATGCTATATTTATGGGTTAAAGTGCTCAATATCAGTGATAGGCTGTAAGCAAATATAAAAGTGGGCCTTAAGGTGAACACCTATCGTGACATTCTTGTTTCATGCTTAAATATCTGGTCTAAAGATTGCATTTAAGCATGAAACAGACTGTCACCATTGGGTGTTGACTTCAATGTCCACTTACATATGTTTCTTATTACTATAAACATTATTTTTAATGGGTACATATGTTTTGGTTGCTGTCTGTTTATTTTCTTAAATAGTCAAATTATTAATACCTTCCAAGATTGAGAATTCCTACCAAAGAAAAATATACCTCTCAACAAGAATCAAACTTGTATCCCCTTCTCCATCATGGAAAATATTCTGATAGATGTAGATTGCCTTTTACTTGATGGACAAAGGGATACATGTTTGATTTCTGTTGGGAGGAAAATGTTTTCTTAAGTAGGACTTCTCAATCCAGACTAGCAGTTGTTTTTAATTTAAGTGTTTAAGAAAATAATAATACCCCCCTCCACACACACACACACCAAAAAAAAAACCAGGGATATCAAGTCAATATGCATCCATTAAAATAATGTTTGTATTAATAAGAAATAATGTGGTATTTAAAGAAAATATATATAATGAAATGGACTAAACAATGGAGTAAACAAGAATATATATATATATATATATATATATATATATATATATATATATATATATGATATATTTTCTTGTTTACATTATTTTTTATAGATATATTTTATTTAAGTAAATGCCCTGTTATTTAATTAAACAGTATTAATTACATTTACCGGCCTGAATGATAGAGAAATTTTGTAGAAAATATGTGCTCTTCAAAGTTTTGAGAGTGAGCAAAATTGCAGGTGTTTATAGAATTGTTTTAAATTTAGCAAAATTACAGGTGTTATAGAATTGTTTTAATGAAAAAGATTAGTAAAAAGAACTTAGCTGGGTTTTTTTTAACGCAACAAATAAACATTTTTTTTTTGTACAACCCAGTAACTTTTGTTTTTGTGATTTTGTCAGATTTCATGCTATTTGAATTAAACTTGTCTGACTTGTTGAGCAAGTCTTCATATTTCACAAATGAAGTGGAGATAAGGAAACAAATAAATCACAATCTAGGCCAGTTAATTTTTTTTCTTTATAGTAACTGTATATACAAAAGAAAGTTCTCTATCTGAAAATAGTGTTATTCAAGAGTTGTATAAAGAATTAAAAGCAACATAATGTTACCACAATGTTGGTTTGTCAATATTCATTATCAAGTACTTGCTTTAACTCTTTTTAAAGTATTGTGGCTTAAATTTTCTACCACATTAAAATGTTGGTATCTTTATGGTGCATCATTTGAAGTCATGTTTTATGTCTATATGGCTTTTGTCAAGATTTGTGTGTGTAATTGCTTCTAGTTCATTTCACATTAATACAGGAGGTGGGGGGGAAATCTATTGTTTCTTATCTTCATCAACGATCTTCCTGATGTCATCACTTCCCAAGTAGATACTTAAGCGGATGACACAACTATTTACTCCTATCTTTGTAGCAAGTTCGACAGGTCCAACAAAGTAAAACTGGCAACTGCTCTTGAAAAGAACTTCCAATTAGTATTTAACTTGGGCAAGGAATGGCTTACAAATTTGAATGCCTCCAAAACAAAACTGCTTTCATTTAATCACCATAAATTTTTTCTGCTTGTCATCAGCATGGCTGATGCTAACCTCCAAGAGAGCCACTCTTTGCCCCTTCTTTGGCTCACATTCTCCACTGACATGAAGTAGTGATTATATTGAGTCAATTTTTAGGTTTACTGCTAGGAA